GGGGGGGGGGGGGTATGTGGGTGTCCAAATCACTCTGGTCGTGAGAAAATGACAAATATTTATCCTCGCTTCAATAATTATCTTAAATTATCTGAAGGTGGAGAAGGGAAGGAGGAGGGAGAGAGAGGGAACGAAAAATCAGCCAAACTTGGAATTAATTCAAATATTTACAGTTTTTATCAGAATAGGTAATTCAACAAGCTTTCTATATTAAATTATGGATTTATAACTTGTTGAATGAATGGGACTTTAAATCTTTAGATTGATGGATAGTTGGATGGATGGAATGTTGAATTGGTGGAATGATAGATTGATGGATGAATGGATTGAAGAACTAATGAATTGGTGGATTGATATATTGACAGATTGATGGAATGATTGATTGAAGGATTGATTGATTGATGGATTGATGTATTGATTGATTGGTTGATTGATAGATTAATGGATTGATGGATTGTTAGATTGATTGGTTGGTTTATCTATTGATGGTTTAAAGAAAGTTGGATTGATGGATTGATTAAGTGAATGGACAAATGATGGACCAATAAATCATTAAATAAATTAATCAATCGATTAATTGATCCAAAGAAAACTATTTTATAATTTTAGAAACCAAAGCTCTGCAGTGTCTGAACAGAATATGAATCATATTCAAGGAAGAATAGAAAGGTGGGATACAATAAATATGATTAATTCGCTAAGTTTTCTTATTGTTTCATAATGTATTTAAAGGGAATATATTCACAGATAAACCAACAATTAAAAGTTGAAGGAAGGATAGTTATATAGATTGTTTACAAAAAGCCTGACAATCAACATTTAGATGAAATGTGTCTGAGTACACTGCACAGCCATGATAATGTTTGTATTTCAGGGATACGGAAGGAGGAGTATCAGGGATTCATCCAACCATCCATCAAGGTACAGGGGGGCCCATAAACCATCCATCAAGGTACAGGGGGGCCCATAAACCATCCATCAAGGTACAGGGGGCCCATAAAGCAGTAGACTTTAATGACTACACGAACACCTTTAAATATGACCATTTGAGGGTTAAGTATGGACATGAATGATAAACACTAATGTTACGCATTTAAACATTGAACATCGTGTGGTTTCTAATGACCCTTCATTTTAAGGAAGATTAAAAGAGGCATGTGCGATTCACATAAATGATGTGGCAGATATCGACATTTTTCTAGCACACAGTGTTTGATGTTGATCATCTACCCCACTGTTAATCCGCACCCTTGCTTTTGATAGAATCCACAAAATAAAATAATCAACTTTTAAATTGAAAACTTGGTTTTCTCTTTCATTCCTAGTTATACAAAGCTGTTCAGGGTACCATTGTAATTCGGTCATGTCACTCTGTAAATGGAGAGTCACTTGAAATTATGTTTACTGTCCCTTTAAATAATAATGTTAACTGTCCCTTTAAACAATAATGTTTACTGTCCCTTTAATTAATAATGTTTACTGTCCCTTTAAATAATAATGTTTACTGTCCCTTTAAATAATAATGTTTACTATCCCTTTAAATAATAATGTTTACTGTCCCTTTAAATAATAATGTTTACTGTCCCTTTAAATAATAATGTTTTTTACATAATAATGTTTACTGTCCCTTTAAATAATAATGTTTACTGTCCCTTTAAATAATAATGTTTTGTTGAAAAATTCTTTTTGTTTAGAATCTGGGTATATTTCCTGCCAGGACAAGGAGACTGATTTAACCTGTTTAAAACAAGAATCCAATTCGGGGATTCAATCAGGGTTCTTGGGGGTTCTAGGGGAGACCCTAGAAGCCCAGTTTGGGTCCCTGGAGGACACTGCATCCTCTAAAAAGGCAAATGAGACTCAAGGAGAAGGTTTTGATGCAGACAGAAGATATGAACAATCGGAGTTAACCATTGACGAAGGTATAGAATGTTAAAATTAGACTTATTTTTTGTTTTTTGTCTGTTACAAAATTAAAGAATTACCCATCTTCGAATGGGGAGGATACTATTTCAGTTAGTATCACTTACTAATATTAAAAATTTCACATTTCTTTTGTTACTGACCCACCTCGGTCACTGAAGATCCCTTATTGATCCCTAAGAAACTTGATCATTCCCTTGGTTGATCTACCATATAAATTCAGCCCTTTCTTCAGTCAATTCTTAACATTATTCCCTTGGTTGATCTACCATATAAATTCAGCCCTTTCTTCAGTCAATTCTTAACATTATTCCCTTGGTTGATCTACCATATATTCAGCCCTTTCTTCAGTCAATTCTTAACTTTATTTAATCCCCTTTCTCATGGTATTAGTACTTTAATCTTCCTTTCTTATTCATAATCCTAATTGATCCGCTCTTTCTTCATGGTCTTATTGATCCCTTCTATTTGTTCATAATTTTTTTGATCATTATTCATGATATAATTGATCCCTTTGTTATGTAATCTTAATAAACACCTTCTTTTTATTTATGATGATATTGCTCTAGGATCGTGTATGGAACCAGACTCATCTACTGATCTCTCCTTAGAGCCTGGCTCGAGTATTACTACTTACAACCAAAGGAACCTCAAGCAATCTCAGATCAGTATTAGGTAAACAATGATTTTCATTCAAATTTATTGGTATACATTTTCTTTAAAAAGCATCCTTATAAATTTTTTTTCCCTTAACTTGTTAAGACATAATGATTTTAATTTCTATTTCTATGAATCTCTATGAGACACATTTACTCCCAGTCTTAACAATTAAAATTATATTTTACTTGCAATGAATTATTTTTACTTGAAAATACTATTTTAGTGGAAACAGTTACCAAGGTGGACATCAAGGCAGTGGTAGCAGCGGAAGTGGAACGGACATGCGCACAGACCGTCGTACAGACCTGCGCGCAGACGTTCATGCGGAGCTGCGCACAGACCTGCGTTCTCAGTTAGATCTTGAACAAGAGAAAGCATTCAAACAATCAAAACAGTTTGCTCAACTTTTCAAAATTAAACCGGAGGCTACAGAAGAAAACTTCAAACGACGCCGGCTGGATCCTTCGGAGGTGTCAGAGGTTGAATATCGGAGGATTGTCGGAGGAGGTAATTTACCGTTGTCGGTAGAGATAGATGAACTTGAAAACAGCTCAGAATCCATATCTCCACATGCCCAGAGGTATTTTTTTACCTTAATCCAAATTTGATTTTTTTTAAATATCGTACAGTTAGACCCTTAAAACTGGAATTGGAAAATGACTGCTTGGTTTATGTTATAAATCTAAATAGTCAAGTAACTCTACAGTTGTGTAAACAACCCATTTTATTCAATAAGTTGAATTTCAAAGTACTGTACAGGTCGTACTGGTCTAAACCTATTTGCTGTAGTGTATAACAATATTTAATACACTTTATTTTGCTTTTGTATCGTCTTTCTATTCAACAGCTTTATGGGTCCTGTAATAGTTTATAACATACTACAAAATAAACAATTTCATTTTCGGACCATTTTTTGGCTGAGAGACGGGCCTTGTTTTCGATAACAACCAAAAATGTCACAAGAAAAGCCAACCGCGCCAGTCTTTAGACTAATCATTAATTAGCCAATTTATTTCTCGGTTTTCTGTAAAAATCCACGTGTCGCTGATTATAAAATCAGTGACCTGGATATTTTGTAAAAGAAAATCATGAATATTTAGATAATTATTGTTTGTATTAAACATTTCCTAGAAACTTTTAGTCCTAACAACGAATAAATAAAAAGGTATTTATGATGTTTTCGCGGTAATTTTTCTTGGAACATTTTTGTAAAGAGAAAACAAATATTTCCAAGATCCGAAACTAGGGGGGGGGGGCTTACCTTTAAATATAAGTTTTGGAATACAATCTTACCGAAAGTTTATTTTGAAGGTCAAAGGGTCAAATTTATGTGCCTTTAGAAACCCCGGATAATCTGCAAAAATATTATATTAATTTGAACCATCTTGTTAAAGAGTATAAAATCCTTTCGGTCAGTTGTGGAAAATAATATATTTTTAGGGGGAAATTAATGATTTTTTGGGAATAAGTATCACAAAGGTTGGGAAAACTTTCCTGATGATTGTTTAATTTTACCCCCCCCCCCATTTTATCATTACGGGAGTGTAATTCCCCCCTGAAATATGAAAATCAAGGTGCTAAATAAATTGATAAGTATGAATTAGATATCAATGTTTATAAGTTTTAAAATCAATTATTTTCAATTGTGGATTCTCTATAAAAGTAACTTGCGCATTTTTACTAAAGGAGAACAACTTATAAACCTAGAAAAACGACAATATCTTCCACATTATTGAAGGTTTCAAGGTTACCGTTGTTAATCGGGCATTGCCATCTTTGGATAGAGGAACACTTGAATTTAACAATCGTAATATTGTAAAGGCTGGTTGCTGGACTTCTAAGCCCCCGGAAGCGGGGTCGGAAACCAAAACATTATTCTGAAATCCTGTACGAGCTCGGGCAGAGAGGAATCAGTATTACTAAAACCCAAAGGAACGAATCTCCTCCTCCTTCTCGACCTCATCCTCCCTCGCCTATCCTAGCACCCCTAGATCCACATGCTCTCAACAAATCAGGTTCAAACTTAACCAGAGCTGGGAACTTTTGAATGGTGGATATCAGGATTAATGCTTAATCCACTCTTTTTCTAAATCTCCAGGTTAAATTATGCTTGTTCTCTTCTTGTTTTTAATCTCCAGATTAATTAACCGATCGGGATTAAAGATATCCCATTCTAAATTTTTCAGCTTAGGACGGATAAATTGAGTATATTAATCGATATACTTATAGATTGATGATGGATTTCTTGATTGATTGATTGATGGATTGATGAATAGATTTACTGTTGGATTGATGGATTGATGAATAGATTGACTGTTGGATTGATGGTTTGATGGTTTGATTTGTTAATGGATTGATTAGTTGATTGATTAGATTGATTGATTGATTGATTGATTGATTGATTGATTGATTTTGTTTAGGGAATCAGTCTCTAAAGTGCCCGCATTGTAACAAGGTTTTAACGACATCTGTTGGACTCATGTATCATATTAGACTGCATACAGGTGATGGTTTAAATAGATCAAATTCAGCAAATAAGCAACCAATCTGAAAACGATAATATCCCGAGAAAGCTAATTATTACTTAGGTTTACTCCAATTCTAATTTTATATTTGTTATTTCTATTTTTAATAGATTTAATTCATAATATTACTTACACGTCCGAATTGCTTGACCAGAAAATCCACCAATGACAGTGCAGTAAAGTGGTCACGTGATACAGGCAGAGACACGTGATCAGTATACTGCTCTGCCATTGGTGATGGTTCTGGTCACGTGATTTAAGTTTAAGATTTTCTAAATTTTACGTATATGAACTTTCGTATGATTTTAACACAGTTTTATATCAATTTCTCGAGATAGTAACATCAGATAAAACTTTCATGGGTCGCGATCAAGAGCTAAAGTGATTAGCTTTCAGCCTATACCCCCTTTCATTTTTCCTTTACTGTCTCTTTAAGGATTCTATGATTTCTCCCCAAAAACCTTTATTTTCCCTTACTAATCTTTAAGGAAGAACAATACCTTCCTTGATACGCATATTTTTTTATAGGTGCCGTTAAAGAGTTTTCCATTTTATAGATGTTTGTTTTAGTGTTGAAACAGTATTTTGTTTTCAGGAGAAAAGCCTTACACATGTGACTTATGTGGTAAAAGTTTTGCTACCTCAAGTCATTATCATTATCACATTAGAACTCACAGTGGGGAGAAACCCTACAGGTATCATCTACTAATTATTATCAACATTTTAAAATTTTCATGAAAGTCAATTTCCCTAATTCCAAAAGCATGTAAGTGAAATAAATGTGGAATTTTTTTCCTAAATAGATACAGTAGATTTTTTTTTCATACTTTTTAAAATCATGTTTTAACATTTAGAAATTCTTTTTTTAGATTTGATTTTTACTTTGACGTCTTTTTTATATATTTATTCTTTTTATCATTTTTTTCACTTCTATTTTAGTTTTAGTTTTCCACCTATTTTAATCTCGATATTTAAAATTTTCTTTGAATTTGTTTTGTTTGAAGGTGTGATTTCTGTGGAAAGATGTACACTGCTTCTGGATCTTTAAGACTTCACCTAAAGTCCCACTTGACTCGGCTGTCGGCCAATGTTTTCGGCAGCCTCGGACTCAACAACCTCGATACCTTCAACAGCCTGAATATGTTCCGCGGCCTCGAGTCTATGCTGGCGGAGAAAGCAGGAGGCGGGGGTGGCGTAGGGTTAGAGCAGACAGATCAGGGGAATTCAGATTTCAAGTTCAATATTAAACAGGAAATATTTGATGGCGGAGCCGAGCGAAGAGACGTTGAGGACGGGCGGAGAGTGGCGGAGGCTGGGCATAGAGAGACGAAGGAGACTGGAGGTCATTCTCGTCCTGATGATCTTGGTCTCGGGTCATAAACCTTGAGTTGCCTTGAATACAAGACTAATCCCTTCTTCCTTAATCCATCTTTTTTTTACTAAATCTTCGAGACACTTAGGGAAAACTTCGCAATCTGTTCACAGAACCTTTTTCGTAAAATTAGCCGCCTTTATAGCAGACTGAAGACTTACTGAATTTGCAGATTAATAATTCCAGATGCGAAAATTGAACTACTTGATGCAAAGGCGCTAGATGCTAAATATTGATCTAATCGATGTCAAGGCTCTTATAAAGATGCAGTGTAAAATGTAACAACATATACCACGCTTTTTTGCAAAATGTTAGGTTTTAAGCCATCTTGGCAAAAATTGCTTTAAACTTAAGAATTGTTTTAACACATTGAAACATTTAAGTTAATTTGAATGTGATTAATTTTGTCATATTGTTCGGAACTGAACTCAAACGTTGAATCTACCATTGTTTTGAAATTAGTCCTTAGGTCTTGTCTTGTGAAGACAATAAATTTGAAGTTACCATGTAGATAGATAGATATCATATAATGATGATTTTTCATCTGCATTTTATCCTTGTATTAAAATTGCATTTAGTAACTTAATCCCAGTGAATCATAACTCCAGAAGTTAGAACTCTTGTGTTGGGAGTCTCATTGATCTAAATCCTCTTCGATATCAAGTGCTGGGTAAACCGTACAGGGATACTTTAATTGAGGGATTCAGCATTGATCCTCAGTTTAAAAATACCCAAATTGTATATCGAGATCAGCGTGTAAGATCAACGATACTCCATACAAAAGTTCCGAAATCAGCTGAATTCTGCAAAATGTAGGAAATGTTACTAAGTAATTCCTCTACGTTAATCATCGTTTTTAAAGTTAACATTTATAAACAAAAATGTTAATAACAAATTACCAGTATTCAGTCAATAGCAAGTATTTAACAACATTTTTCTATCCGAATTAATCCTGAATTATTTTGTCAGCAATTAATAACTTCTCTAATAGTAAAGAAAATGATGTCTAAAAGCATTTAATTTTTTCTATTAAATGTAATGAAAACCTCTAATGTCATAAAATAAGTCTGTTATGACTGAAATTACACGTTTTTTGGATGTAATTAAGTTCAATGCTCATGTACAACGTACATAAAATCAACAGACTATTGGACTTCTGAAACTTTTGTGCGCCTTAACATATACATTACAAGGAAATCCAAAGACTGGAAATAATTTTAAATGTACAAAATTTATGTACACATATGAGGAAGTCTCATATTTGAATATATTTTTTGTATCTCAACTTTTCACCCCCCCACTCGAACCTATTTTGAAAATTAAATTTTGTTTACTTTTTTATACTCTTGTAATTCAGTTCGCATAGTACAATGTACATTGTACAATGTATAACATTCATAATGTTATACATTGTACAATGTATAACATTCATAATTTTTTAATGGACTCCAAATGACGCAACCGTACATAAATGTACATGTTAGGAGGTCTAAGTTTGACAATTCATTAATTAATCGCATTGTACATTAATTGTATTTTGTAAATTGTGCATTTGTAAAATGTACAATTTACAACTTACAATTGTTTTTTCCCAATAACGTCTGAAATGAATTGGTTTATTAAACATTGCAATCCTGTAATCCTAAAATTATTACAAATGTCACAATTTTCCAACCAATCATTGGACAAGATATCTCAAATATCTTTTAGCGTTTTGTCACAAAACTGCAAACATTTTACCCCTTCCTTATAACAGTAAGGTGCTGCCAAGCTTACACTGAAAACTAAAAACTTATTGACAAACATTTACCTAATAAATGTATTATACATTCAAACCACTGTATAATGTATGAGATACATTTAAAACATTATCAGTTGAAGATTTTTTATAGTTACTCTTAGTATTTTCTAGTATTATGTATTATATTATAGTATCTCCTAGTTAGCTACTAACTCCACGCAGATTCAACACTATAAATTGGAAACTTTTGGTTTAGCCGCCAAGTTTTGAATTAAAGGGCTTAGCTTGGTTTCTGAATCCACTCTTCTAAATGGTCGAGATGGGATGTTTTTTCTCTACTTTCTACTATTTCTAATTTATTTTTTAACTTTTCAACTTTTCCTGTTTATAGGGTTGACTTGCGTTTGTTAAACCTGTAAATGTCAATTTATGAAGAGGTTATTTCCGCTAGTATTAGTGGATATTTCCGCTAGTATTAGGGGATATTTCCGCTAGTTTCAGAGGATATTTCCGCTAGTATTAGGGGATATTTCCGCTAGTTTCAGAGGATATTTCTCCTAGTATAAGAGGATATTACCCCTGATTGTAGAGGGTATTCCCTCTAGTATTAGAGGATGTTTTCTCTAGTATTAGATGATTCCTTTAGTATTAGAGGATATTTCCTCTAGTATTAGAGGATATTTAGTATTAAAGGGATAGTTTCTCTAGTATTAGAAGATATTTTCTCTAGTACTAGAGGATATTTTCGCTAGTATCAGAGGATATATCCGCTAGTATTAGAGGATATATCCGCTAGTATTAGAGGATATATCCGCTAGTATTAGAGGATATTTTCTCTTTATTTTAGAGTACATTTTCTCTATTATGATGAGTCCAACAAAACTTAGTTATAAACAGTATCTTCCTTCTAATATTTATTAAATAAATTTCTAGTCAAAACTTGAGATTTTTTCTTAAATTATTTGATTTATTTTGAAACAGTACGTCTCTTTAAACATTGTCATTTCTTTAGAAGTAAGAACAAATGTCGTCTTAAGCATTTTTATTGCGGTACAGGTACTTGTTCATTCATTATAACCTTATAAAACTGTGCATAAGAAAGACGACATTTAAGTATTCTTATATGTAATTTGCATTGTGCATGTTTGATGATGAAATGAAGAGATTAGTCTTAGCATAAGCTTAAAAATCAACTTATTAAGTGAAATGGGTCTTTTTACTGTATAAGCTGCAATTGCTATATTTTATGTTTTTTGAATTGTTTTATCATTATTTGGGTCTAAGGGGTCTCTTCCTATTCTTTAGTTTTTTGGAGGATCTACTGTTTGAAGTAGTATTAGAAAGCTTTTCAATTTTTAAGACACAGTAAATAGTATTGAGGTAACACTGTGGTATCTGGGAACCACAAAACGTGCATTGAACTGGTATCTAAAATCTACACTTAATAAGATTTATACAAGTACTTAAACCTGTTTATATCTATCATGTGTGTAACCTGTTGACATTGCAGATCGGGTTAGTCCTATTCCGCGGGCCTAACTCCTCATGCGCTGTCATATATATTTGTAACCTGGCATCACAA